TAAAGTAGGTCCCAAGTCAGCCAGGGCTATCAGATGATGCACTTTTATTGCTGGAGAGAAAAATCTGTGACTCACTTGGCATTTGGTGGATTAGATCTTTCAGAACACTTTTGTCTCTGGCTCTATTTCACAGCTCAGAAGCAAACCTTAGGAAAGATATTTATAGATTTAATGGTGTGACATTTGACATTTATCGATTTATTTATTTTGAGAAAAACTTTCTAAAAGTTGTTCGCAATAGGATATATTCTATTTTTGGCTTATTTTCTTGCCAATATTTTCATTTTTTGATCTGACAGAACCTGCCCTTGCTGAAGACGTGGGAATTCGGCATTTAGCCTTCCTTCTACGAACAGTAAAAATGATAATTATCATACCTGTAAGACTGACTGCATCTCAGGTAGTATGCTAAGTGCTTTATAAATATCAGCTTGTTTAATTTTCACAGTAAGCATCTACATTTGTGGATCGTGTTTTCTCTATTTACAGGAGAAAAAGCTGAGGCATGAGGAGGCTAATGACTTTCCCAAGAGAAAGTACTTGGTGGAGCTGTGAGGTAAACCTGGCAGTACACATCTAGAGCCTACGTGCTCCCACCCTCTAACACCAGCAGCAGTTAGATTGGAGGGATCAGGTCAGCACCCCACTGTATTCCTCTTCTGGGAAAAAAAGTGTGATACATTGTTGAGCTTTTTAAGAAAGGAAATTGAGGGCTGGAGATGTAGCTCAGCAGTACAGCATTTGCCTAGCACATGGAAGACTCTGGGCTCCATCTTTAACACTGCAATCTATCAATCAATCAAAATTAAAAGGCAAACAACATGGTGATAGGAAGTAGGGAGGGTGATCATTCTCAAAGGGGAAAGGGGATCAACAGATGGAGGAAGAGGAGGGAAACGGGGTGCAAAGGAATGTCAGCATCATGTGCTGCAAACCTGTCCTCATCAAAAACTCAGAAAGGTGAGCAGAAAATGGTTTAACATTTTCCATAAGGGTTATTTGCGGTTGTGTTCGTGGATGAGAGACTTATTAGATGTGACTGTGATTAGGGCAAGTAGTTATTTTGGGGGGACTGGTGTTGCATTGGTGATTTTACTTTTTACTTTACACACCTGTATGGTTTTACCTCTTATAAACACGTGATCAAGCACACGTGCACACTCAAGGAGCAGGTAGAGGTCAAGTATCTGAGCCTACTGAAGAGGTTCTTAAGCCGTCACAGCTTTTGGCTTGGATCTCCTCAGTCCTGAGGGGAAAGTTCAGGTCCTCGCTGTCAGGCCTAAGGGGACACCTCTCAGGTCACAGGTACTTGATAAATGTAGTTTGAGACACTGTTGTCTTGGAATTGTTTGAATTACTCCTGTCTGTTTTTCTTAAATTCTGGGCTACTCCAAATTTTTCAATATTTTGGAAATTTCATTTGGCTAACTGGGGGACTCACCAAATTTTTCTCCAAAAGGCAAGAAAATAAATATTTTAGATTTTCCCAGTCGTAGGATCCATGTTTTAACTCTTCCTGCTGGTATAACTGGAGAGCAGCCAGAGAAAATATGCCAAGAAATAGACAGTTCTGTGTTCTGATAACACTTTATTTCCAGAAGCAGAAAAGAGGGCAAATTGGCCCCAGAGCAGTTGTGTTTGGACCTCTGTCCTGGTTGTTCTCAGCAGTGCCTTGTAAACTGAGAACTAGCTGATATGCTTCATTTTCAGAATACCTTTTCAGGGCTTTGCACATTTGTGAAGGTCTGAGTGTTATACTTTGGTATTTTCAAGGTGTGGTCCAAATTCTTTTGACAGTCAAAACTGAGAGCCTTATTTCTTCTCACCATATAAAAGACTAGGATTCCAAGTTCCAAGGGGTTATGCTGGGAGTCAATATGTCATATATCGCTTGTTAGTATTGTCTACAAAACACCCAATTTTTGTTTGCTTAGTTTAATTCTGAGTGAAGATAAGAGGGAAGGAAGTCCTAGCCCACTGCAAATGGCCACTCTGCTGAAGGAATACCCTTCTCACTTTTCAAGTGTCAGGAATGATCTTGAGGATGATTCTAGAAAGCAGTGCGAGTGCTCCTTTCTCTGAGGGTGCCTACCCTCCTCAGGGAAAAGCAGACCAAAGTCTATTCCCTGAACATTTCAAGTTGTGGACCTCCACGTTCCTGTTCAAAGTTCCTCTCGAGAGGTCATGGGACCTTCAAGCCATTGAGATATTTGGCTTCCCAGGGATGTGTGTATACACGCATGCATGCGCCTATGTGGATGTACGGATTGAACCCAGAGCCCCACGCATACTAAATGTGCACTCTACCACTGGGTTACATCCCAGTCCAACTGTTGCTCAATCAGTAGTTGATGGGCAAAATCTCCTAAGTATCGTTTATATGCAACTATACCGAGGATACTTACACTTCATACCGCAATTTGTAGCTTTCTTTCCTCAAATCCCTTGGAGCTCATAATGAAAGTCTCTTTATTTTTTTTTATAAGTCCTTCTCAAGTTAATTAATGGTCAGACTAACAGGCCAGAAAACATATAAAATGCATTAAGACAATTATAACAAATCAAGGTATGCTTTTAGATACATTGGTCATGCTCTTTTACAATAACTTCTCTCTGTTTCTCTCTCTCTCTCTCTCTCTCTCTCTCTCTCTCTCTCTCTCTCATTTTGCATTGAAAGTCTCTGTGAAAGAAGCAAGCACAAACCAGCCCCATACATTGTCCATATCTCAAGAGCTTGGTAAAATGTGTACATTGAATATAAGTAGAACAAATTGTGCTCGGGACTGTAAAAGTCAAAATGTTTATGCCTACCTTTAACCTCTACCTTGCAGATAGAAGGGACAGACAGGAAATTAAGAGTGCTGTTTCTCCAGCCTGCATGTTCATAGATATGAAAGTATATATCTACTTTAATACCTTTAAAATTAAAGCATGTGCATATTTCACTTGTACAGTAAACCTTGTCTTTCATGAGCAATATTTTTTTACTCAAAACATGGACTCCCAGAAGGAAGCACCCCAAATTAAAGTCATTTTAATGTGGGGGTTTCGAAGGAGAGTTGTCATTCCCATACCTTGTGTGTGATGGCAGAATGTCTAGTGGCTACTAAGTTTGAAATCGTGAAATGATCATAGCCTGCAATTTAAACTTTATTTCATATTTATTGTTAAATTACACAAAAATCAGTAAATGATTTGTAAAGCTACACCATTGGACTGATGTTTACAGTTGAAATCATGGGATTTACAAGATGAGGACAAAAATGTATATTTATAACACCCTCTATGTACAATAATTAGTATAGACAGAGAAAATGCACTTAATCTCTGCAAACCATGCACACCACAGCAATAACACAGATATTTTTTTCTGTAACAAGTTTTTCCACTGGCTCAGACTTCATCCTGCTTTCCAACACTAGTTGTCAGTTTTAAGAGCAAACATTTTCAATTAAAACTAAACAAAATGAAATATCATAGTGATCTACAGAATATTTAAAAAACACAATGTACACAAAATAGTTTCACTCTAAAACACTTTGACTTTAAGGTGTGTGTGTTTGTGTGTGTGTGTGTGTGTGTGTGTGTTCAATTTCCTTCCAGTGTTTTAGATCTCAGAATTGCCAGAACTGCAATACTATCGACAAAACAAAAGCTAGAAACACTGATGCAGGCCCAGAGTCAAGAATATCCATTTTAAACACAAATACTCAGCTGCTTGCTCAGCTTGTAGCTATATTATTACTGATGAAACTAGATCATGCATGTGGGCAAACTACACAAGATATGGCTTTATGGTCACAATTCTAAGCATGTCTCTTCTCAAACATAAATGCCATTTCCAGTCACTTCAATTGATTGGTGGCTGGGGTGGGGGTTAGTGTAAGTTATTTTGAAAGCATAGCAAAATTCATATACCATGGGAACTACCCAGAATCACGATGCCTGGCAGCCCAGTGAGCTTATACTTCTTTGATTTTGCTCAATTCACAATTGATACCATAAAAGCATTTTTACATAGACTTACACCACCAAATTACTCTCCTCAAAGTATAGGTTCCTGATGCTTCACTGCAGAACACTCTATTTTTGAGAAAGGTTAACCCAAAGTATCAAGAAAACTTTTGATATTACTGAATAACTCTGGCCATTCTAGTATTTATTCTACCAGTGCTTTACTGTTGTAATTGCCTACAAATTTGTTCACACACACACACACAGACACATACACAAAGATCTAGTGGACTAGAAATAGCTATTCAAACTGGAAACATTACAACAAAGATGTACGAAAAGTAAATAACAGTTCACATTCAGGCTTGATTCTACCTGATCAAGAATAACTTCAGCAATATTTGTAGACACAATTATCCTGTTCAAGAATTTCTTGATAGGGACCTCACTACACAAACATTGATAAGATGATTCTATAGAAAGAGAGTCCTGACTTTAATCCAGGATTATTTATCACAATAAATTCAGCAACACACCATTTAGATAAAGATTTTACACATGGGTTCATTTGGAGTGAGCACAACTCCGAGAAGCCTTAAAATGAATGAGAAGCAGCGCCAAAAAGATTTCAGAATTATTGAAATTACAGTGCTCTGAAAGCATCTGAAAACTAGATCTTAACAGTGGTATTTCATTTGGAAAAAATATGCTTTGTTTAGTATGAGTTAGACCCTGTTTAAAACCTTTAAACAGTAGAAGGTAGAAAAAGTTTTAAATTTTAAAGATCTCTTAAATTACATGAGCCCTGTTCTACTTCAAAAGCAAATATTTTTACACAAAATCGCCCATGGTGAGGAGAGGAATTCTTCACTGTCTATAGTTTGGTAAAATGTATCATCAGTTGATGTTGTGTTTGAATAGATCCCTTGTTAAAATCAGAAGAAAATGAAAAGTTTTGTGTTTCATTTGATGTTTACACTATGTTTAGCCAGGGGGAAAAACTGTGCTTCCAAGATTGGGTTTGAACAGTGTATCGTACATCTTTTAAAGTCCACATCTCTCAGCCATAAGCTAAATGGTCACATTCTATATTTTCATTTTGTCTCCATTCCTAATTTAAGAACTTCTTAAAATATCTAAACAGCAATTTGAGTCTGGTTTGGCTTTTGGATTTCATAAATAGTCCAACCAAAAAAAAGAAAAAGACAATTTAATTACATATTGAGATTTGTTTCACCCACGCACAGTGTAACATTTCACTGAAAGGCAACTGTAAAGGCAACATCTAAACTTTTTTAAACTTCCAAACTGAAGGAAGCAGGATGTGTTGGGACGCTTTTATCTAAGATATGCCTTGTTTTGGGTGGCGCTTTGGGAGAAGTGAGCACAAGCTTCTCAGCCACTTAACGCCATTTCTCTACGCTGCCTATGTAGTCATTGGTGCCATTGCTGCTGTTGCTATCATTCTGCTCCTGGCCTGGGTTCCGTTTCTGGTTGGACCGGTTCCCCTTGTGGCTCAAATCCTGACTCGAGTTCTGAGTCAGATTTGGAATCAGATTCTGAGTCAGATTCTGATTTGCATTGAAATTTGGGTTCTGACTCTGATTCTGAGTCGGATTCTGACTCTGACCTCGGCTCTGGCCCTGGAAATGGGTCTGAAGGAACCTTCCCTTCAGAAATTTGCGCTGCTCCTGACGCTTCCTCCTGGCCTCCTGATGCTCTTTCTGCCTCATAAACTGATACCTTTGCAAAAAGAGATCTTTTGCATAGGTGTACAGCTCCATATCCAGAAAATTCAATCTCTCAATACGTTTTTGGACTTCCTCATTGATCTCTACACTAGAGGCTCTAGTGGTATTGTATTGGGTAAACGGCGAGATAAAGTTCATGTTGAAGGTCTTCTCAAACAGATATTGGGTCTTCCGCTGAAACTCAGTGAGGCCAAAGAAAGCCATATGCTTCAGGTTTGACTTGGCGCTTTCCAGAAGGACCTTGTTTCGCTGCTTTTCAGGCATGACAGAGAGGTTGTAGCAGCCTACTAGGGTCAGGTCGGAGAGCATGCGCACCTGGCGGTTGTTGGCCAGGTTATAGGGACAGTCCATGAACTCTTTCAGGGGGCAGCCAGACCAGTCATCGCCAGGATAGCAGCTAGGCAGCTCCTCGGAGGTTGGGGGCCTTCCGTCACAGACATGCAGGGATGCTTTCCAGGTCGCCCCTCTCTGGACATGCCTCCACTCACTCAAGTACCGGGACACTGGGTCTCGGAGGATGGTGATGTAGTGGAAATTCCTACGGATAAAGCACAAGGACCAGGAGTCAGAGACGTGGGTGACAGAATAGAGACAGGGAGGTGTGCGGCAAATGTGATGTTTGCTGGCCAGTAAAGAAGGCAAAAGGGGAATGACAAGGACCCAGTGGCATCTGTCATGTAAATTGTGCTTCAGTCCCCTCTCTAAATCCCACTGGCTTGACCAGATTGCTAAATCCTCCACCCAACTTGCTGACACTGTAACTAAAATAGGTAAACAAAAAAGTCATCGACTCAAGACTTTGACCTTGTCGTTCTTCACTCCTGTTTTCTCCTCCCTTTTTGTTGTCCCTCGCCAAGCAATGGCAAAATCTCAATGAGGTTAGTGGCTCAGAAGGCAACCATTTTATTTCACACCCTCCACCCTAAACCTCCATTAACCGATTATGAAATGGAGACTCCATGAAAGCCAATAATTTATTGATATGAACTGGAAAATTGATACAAGAGCTCAAATTCTAATCTTTCTTGTTAAATATTTCCGAGTATCCATTCTAATCTGGAAATCTTATTAAAAAACCAAAATTGCATGAAGGAGTGTCTGATATGATGCTCTTGGTCCTGGGTGTTGTCACAATATCACAGCTCACACATTATGGAAATGGAATGCAGAGACGGGCAGAGCAGCCCTAGGCTTCCAGAGATGAACACTGGTAGTCACAGACTGAAATACACATGGTAGCTGCCAATGGGCATGTACGCAGACAAGTACCTTAGTGTCAACCTTTGCTCCCACGGCAATTTTCCAGGATAGGAAAGTTAAGTCTCCGCCTTCAAAATATCCCTTTTCACTTTGCTTTTTTTTTTTTGTACCGTGGATCGAACTCGGGTCCTTATGCTTGCCAAGTAGGCAATGGAACCTCTGAGCTAAACCCCTGGCTCCTATGTCCCTTTTCTTTACTCACTGAAAGGACCTGAGGATGCCAGTAACTGTGGGGCCTTTGCTGTGTGATTATCTTTCCTTTTGATCTGCAAACAGGTAAAATTCTTTGCTCAAATAGTAGACTAGCAAACATGCAGGCCACACGCTGGCATACTCGCACTCATACTTAGGGAGTGTACGTACATGCCACACCCCAGAAATCTCAAAGTGTATGACTGGGTTTAGTCCATGAGAAAAAAAGACCCTGTGGTTGTGCTTTTCATGAGAAATGAATTTCTGCTCAGGTGCAGAAAATGAAGGATGAGGTCACTGAAGGACATACTGTGAAAGGAAAACAGCGGTAAGCACTGAATCTTAGCATTTCGTTTCTTAAAGGAAACTTGGGGAATGGCTTCAGCTTTTGTGGTTTATCTGTCCCCATCTGACAGGCTGGTGGATGGTTCTCTATGTGCACATAGGGAGCCAGAGGGAACTTTCTTAGTCACCCGGCTGACTGTGGAACATTTCTCCCAGTTCTTTGGTTTGCAACATCTCAAGCCTCCTGTGATCTATCCTCTATGCCTCGACCCCGTGCATGACATTTCTTCTACCTGGCACAGGCTTCCTTCTTTGACTGGACAATTCTATTCATCCTTCCAGTCTCAGTCGGAGTGCCATCTCTCCTTTGAAAAATATCCCTTTCCCCTGCTGCTGTGGCCATGTTTCCCTCTGTTGCCATAGTGCTTCCATACTTAGTCTTTGCTAAAACATTTTCCATATGGAGTCAAAATTACTCGTTTGCATCTCCACTTAAACTCTGTTTTCTAGAACTAGGTCTTCATCTTATATTTCTACGGCCCTCTTCCCACCTCTTCCAGTTTGTATCTTTTGCCTTCATACCTGGAACGTAGCAGAATCTCAGCTACTCCTTTAACTGCTTATTTAATGAACTATTCTGGGGAAGAGGAAGGAGAGAGCTGGGGACATGTATTAACACACACACACACACACACACACACACACACACACAAAACTCTGCGTGATACCCCAAGTGTGTTGCAAAAATAATAGGAATGTGATATTTAAAAAAAAACCCTTTACACGTTTTTTAGAATAAACAAACGCTGGACACAGAGTAGTCTGGGAGAATGGATGAAGAGAATGCCAAGAATACCTTAATTTATCTCTGTACTTCTAGGACTTGACCTTTCTGGTGTTACTAAAATTCATCTCTGTGAAGACTCCCTGCTATAGAGTACCAGCTCTCATTCCCCCGTAGCTTTTCACAATGAAGATGGCTACTGTACCCATGGACTCCCTCCTCCCACTGCTAATTTTGGTATTCATTCATTTATCCATTATTCATTCATTAAGTCATTTCGTACATATTTATCAAGCATGTATGCTAGGCATGAGGAAATAGTTTAGTGGCAATGCGTCTAATTATTTGGGAAAAAGAAATTTATTTAGTCCAGTGACACATTTGGATTAAACTTTTAACTAGCTTTTCCAGGCATGCATTGTAATGGGAGGCTGTTGGGTGATTGAAACTTCCGTAATTGAGTCACCTTCAGGCTTAGCTGATGGGCCTCCTGCCCTCATTTATTTGAGTGATTTAAGTCTACAGCGACATCTTCTGGTAAATCTCGGAGTGCTACAGTGCAAGTCTGAGACTCCCAAAATTTCATCCTTGCCTTTCTGACCGACCAGTCAGATCCTACTCACCTGTGAGTGTCAGAGTCAGTGTTTTGTATGCATTAGGCTTACAAACATGTACTGGTATGGCCAGGTTCCACAGTGAAGCTGCTCAGGGTTTGACAAATATGTACTGAAAAAATGAATGAATATCAAAAGTAGGAGTGGAAGGAGGCAAGCAACACAGGGAGACAGGCAGACACTGGTAGTCATCCCTCATGTTAGGGCTGTATGATCCAGTACACCTTCAACCTTCAGGCTGCCAAGTGGCTATAGGTGACAAGGACAATCTCAGTTGTACATACGCACACAACACACACACGCACACACACACACACAGAGCCCTGGTGATAACAGCTACCTAGTCTCAGGTGACAGTACTTCTGGACATTCATGAGCTTTAAAAGCCACTTCCTTCTAGGGAAAATAGTCTCACAGGCCCATACTACCCCACCTGGGAAGTCTTGATGCTGCTGGGAAACATGACCCCATGGGTGGAAGGAAGATGTGCAGAGGGGAAGTCCAGTGTCCAGGGCCTTCGGGAATCCCACTGGAGTGTTTGAGCGGGCAGGCAGGTAAGACAACACCTTGAAGTTTTATAGGATATAGGACCCTTACTCTGAAGGAAGAGGCCTGCAAGAAGATATCAGAGCAACACAGGATTCGAAAGCCCAATATGACAGGAGCATAGCTGGATTGGGGGGCACCAGAGACAGAAATAGAGGCACCATTCTTCCAGATCCAGCAAGGTTGGTGCAGCTTAGGACTTGCTGCCCCTCAGCATCTACTGTGTGCCTGCTGGTGCTGAGATGGGCCTAAAACACGGAAACCTAAGGGCAGTGGTGCACTGCAATGTGCCGGCAACAGGTGGTGCAAATTCAGAGTGTGACGAAACTCCATCGCACAGGTCTTTCGTCTAGCCCTGGCCAAAAGATAGGTGAAGACATTGAGTAGCTTTGTTTTGAAGGAAAAAAGAGAGTAGTGCATCTGAGACAGAAGGAGCAGCATGAGCAAAGGCACTGAGGTGACAGCCAGCCCACTGTAAACATGGGAGAGAACAGCGTTAAGGATCCCTTGGGGAACTGAGGAGGGACACATAATCCAGGGCCTGGTTGCACAAGGCCTCAAAGGCTACATTAAAGAATTCATATATATATGGGTCAAATTACCGTGATATGTATAAGTATGTACAATTATGTAACTTGTATCAATTAAAAGTGAAATTTAAAATGAATTAATCAGGCAAAACGGAGATTTGGGGGGGGTACAAGGGATCAAACTCGGGTCCTTGCTCTTATGAAATAGGTGCCAGAAACACTGAGCTGAATCCCCACCCAAAAAGGAGAAGGTTTTAAAGGGTTTTAGGCAGGGGAGCAACACGATGAGGAAAGGACATTATGTACAAGGAGTGGAGATGGAATTAGGGACATTAATTAAGAGGTGGGGCTGACTAGAGAAACGTTGAGGGGGTAAAATGAACCAGATTTAGTGACAAAATGAATGGGGAGGGAGAAGTCCAGGATGCTTCCAAGGTTTCTGGAGGAAGGTTTGTAGTGCCTGTGGCACAGCCATAAGTGGAAAGTCAGAGGAACGCTCCGAGAGCAGGCTGGGCTGAAGGTAAAGATAAGGCGTGGCCAGCAAAAACTGGTATTTCCAGACCACGAGGGCCTACTTAGGGATGTGTTTTGAACTCTACTTGTGTAGCTCTGGATATCTGAAGGCAGCATGGATGTGTCCCCCGGGCTTCTCCGTTTTATGCTAACTATGGTTTTCCACCATTCTGTAGGCTGCTTCCCGGTCCCTCCCTTCCTGCTTTATGGCTCCATACATAGCCATTTTCCTACAACATGGCCCTCCAGATGTGATCAGATATGATACAAGCAGGGACCGTGTATCATCATCGGCCCCATCTTGACACCATTCATCTTCACGTGGCCTCGAATCCCATGGCCCTCTCAGGCAGCCACACCACACCACTGATGTCCGCTAAAGGAAACCATTTCATTTTCTCACATATGTGGAATTCTGAAACCAAAATCCACATTGTCCTGGGCTGATGTAAGTTATTTGTGGCCTTGCCAATTTTTCTTTGTTAAAGGAAGTATGAGCCTGTCAAAGTGCATTTGGACTCTGACTATATCCCCCAATATCTTCACCATGCTTTCTTCTTTTTGTTGGCAATTCCTGTAGCCAGGCATTGATCAACACAGAATATGATGCAGGCAAGAACATGGAGGTTGCTAGAAATCTCCCTTCAGGCTGCTATGGACTGATTTAAATTTTGAATGATCAAGGCAAGTGAAACTGCAGGAAAATCATAGGCAGGCTGTTTCACTCAGTAGTAATTGGACAGGATTATCTAGTGACCAAACATGGCACCTCATTAGAGTAACTAGGTTTCACATCTTATAGTGGGGATCAGGT